ACCCACCTCGCTCGCTCACCCGCCGCGCGGGGGGCGGGACGGGATGGGGGGGCGGGAGGAGTTCTCGCGAGAGCCGCAGCGAACCTCCGCGGGAATTTTCAAATGCGCGGGACACGGCCCCGGGCACTGGCGGCGGCGGCCTCTGAACTACGTATCCCGGCGTGCCGCGCGCAGTCACTTCCGTTTCCGTCCCGGCGGCTGCTGTCTCTCGCGGGGCATGCCGGGAGCTGTAGTTCTTGAACCGGCAGGACCGGTGTTCCGCAGAACCCGTTCCTGGCCCCCGTCCCGCACCTCGTGGGGGTGGTTCTGCTCCCCTGCCCCGCCAAGGGGGAGCCCCCGGCAGGGAGAAAGCTGGCCTTGCCTACCTGTGTCCATCTCATCGCAGGAGCCGCTCACCCATTTCTCCCTCTTCCCCCCTCCCCCACCCCATCTATCTGGATTTCGTTGAATCACAGAACGGATTGGGTTGGAATGGAGTTTAAATATCATCGAGTTCCAACCCTCCTGCCACGTGCAGGTACACCTTCCCCTGGAGCAGGTTGATCAAAGCCCTTTTCAGCCTGGCCTCGAACACTTCCAGGAACGGAGCATCCATAGCTTCTCTGGGCAGCCTGTTTCAGAGCCTCATCACCCTCACACTAAAAGACTTCCTTCTACTATCTAATCTAAACCTACACTCTTTCAGTTTGAATCCATTCGCCCTTCTCCTGTCACTACATGCTCTTGTAAAGAGTGCCTGTCTATCTTTCTTGTAGGTTCCCTTCAGGTACTGGAAGGCCAGTCATTAGGTCACCCATTTAAAAGGATTTAAAGGGGTAGACTATTTAGCTGCAGTTTTCCTCTAATTTTTAATAAGATAGTATATGTAAAAACCCAACAAATTAGTATAAAGTTAATGTTACACTGTTAGTCACTGAAAGGAGAAAAAGTAAGTATTAAGTCAAAAGTGCAAGTCTAATGCTACTCCTTTCAGTGTATATATTGTTACATGGTCAAAACATTCTTTGACTTAAAAAAAGCATTTTAATATAGTCTAGTGGAAGGCATCCCTGCCCATAGCAGGGGGGTTGGAACTAGATGATCTTTAAAGTCCCTTCCAACCCAATCCACTCTATGATTCTATGAAATTTTCAAAGCTTCTAAGTAGTGGCACCGTCATCAAAGGGGTGACAAAGCCATTTAATTTCTCCCAGCATACATCATCTAAATTACATCTATGACTCTTAATGTTGAGACACCATTCTTTTTATTACTATGCAAATCTCTTTTGTGACTTGGTGGCTGCTATTGCCATTTTAGATCTATTAATTTGTATCATACAAGAGCACAGGTCACGAAGAAGGAGCCCACCATGCCAAGCAAGAAGATTGCACAGGTCAGCCCGGCCCCTGACCTTAGGGGGAAGCTGTGCACAAGTCATGGGGTGTCAGTGAGATAGTATTTGCCTGCAAAGAAGGAAAACTGTCCCTGGTCACCAGCTGATGGGTGATGGCAGAGCTGACTCTGTTACACATGAGAGGCTGTGTATGAGACAGACAGATCTGGGGTGCACTATGGAAGGGCTTGTAAGCAAGGACAAGCAACTCTCATCTGACATGACAATGAATAGGGAGCTAAGGGAAAAATGGAAAGATAGGCATGGCAGCACTGGAGGACCAGCTAGACCCATATCCTTCGCAAAGACATGTAGCGTGATTATGTGCAGGATAGAGCTGCATTTACTAAGAGAAGGAAAACTGCTTCAGCAATAAGCACAGTTCAAAGTGGCAATTCAGTGTGGATGAGAGCCTTAGCTCCACACATGGAGACAGAAGGATTCCCTGACAGGAATTATTTGTAGAACAATGCTTGCAAGGTTTGGATGTGATCTGAATTAGAACATGAGGAGAAGTCCTACACATTCCCCCTGTCATAAGCATATGTGAACATTTGCCTAAACAGCAGCTGTGGGATGAAGTGGGCTGGTTTAGCCAAGCTTAAGCCTCAACTGACAGCAAGGCTTATCTGAGCAGGCATCAGGGAGCTGGGCAAGGATGTGTTTGGAAAAAAAGGGTCTATGACTCACCTTGCCTGGTTTTACGTGTCTATGGTACAGTCATCAATCCATTCAGCTGGACTCGCTTTTTAGGTGGCAAAAGGAAACGGCTTTTTCCTTTGTGCCTGCCCTGGCTGCCTTTAGATACTTCCTATAGGATTAGCTGTAATGGGAGCCAAGATGGCAGTGCAGGTAGAGACACCTATGCTGTACCCTTTTGCTTATGGTTGGGTTGATCTCTCTTTTAGAGATTCATCTGAATAGAGCACTTGATTTTAAAGTTGCAGGTGAATTTATGTTTGTGGTAGGGATTACATGGAGATAAGGTATAGAAGAAAAAGAGAACAAGAACACAATTCTATACCACCTGAGCCTGGAGAATGAGATAAAGAGGAGTCTCCAAAAGACATGGTGGTTGGGCAAGGGGAGGGAAAGGGTAGGGTAAAGCTTTGAATGACAGAGAGAATAACCTCTCTGGGAGAGCTGACTTGTGGCAAGTGCCTGACAGGTGATAGGAGATGTCGGGGAGAGCTGGAGCTGACTAAGAAGAGGTCATTCTGAGGCTTCCACAAAAACAGTGCTGACTGAATGTGAGGGCAGGGGCCCAATGAAGGAGAAGGAGTTTCGTAAGGAAGAGTCCAGCCTTTCACTGAGCTTACAAAGCATAGAGAATTGAGGTGCATGTTTGTACTGGGTTTTTGTGGCCAGGTTTTGGTAGTGGAGGAACTTTAAGAGTGGCTTCTGTGAGAATCTGCCAGAAACTTCCCCTTTTTCTGACAGAGCCAATGCCTGGAAGCTCCAAGACAGACCTGCTGCCTGCTAAGTCCAGGTTCATAGCAATGGTGGTAGCTCCTGTGGGATAACAGATTTTAGAAAGTAAAAAAAGGCACAATTCCAGCCAGAGAGAGGAGTGAGAATATGTGAGGGGAGCAGCTCTGCAGATACCAAGGCCAGTGCAGNTCTCAGGTTTATGCCCCTCCTCCCAGCTCAACCTGGCTCTCTCCCAGTCATCCAACACAGCAACAGCTCGTGTCTCCTCAGTTATAACCCAAGCATCCTTCCAAATCTTAGCAGTCACACCAAAGACCTAGCAGTGCTTTCACCGACCTTTCTCAGTAAGCTCTCGGGCTTCTGTTAGAAAACAGTTCAGGACTGTGCTGAGGTTGCTCAGAAGCAGCTGGCAGTGCTGAAGGGACTGTAATGTCTGCGGGTCAATGAAGTTGCAGGAGCCATCAAACAGCGGAACACCTTGTCAAGGAGCAATATTCAATCATCAGTCAGCACAGCAACTGCAGACTTCCAAAGGACATTTAAACAGCCCTAGAAGACTTAAAGAACCACTTCAAGATCCAGTAGCATACACTGGCAGACTACTCAAGAAGATCCTTTACAAAGAATGACTCCAGGTTTCAAAAGCAACTACACCAGTACTCACATATTTGGTCCAGTTCATCTTTTGTACAGATCACTTTGTTCCACGTCCACTCAAGAACAAACCGTAAATTTCCAGCAGAACTTGGCTGCTCTTTAAAAGAGAAAACAAACAAGACATGAAGCCACCATTTCTTACCCAAACAGACACAACATAAAAACAATGTAAGCAGCATTACCTTCGGAAGTCCAGTGTTTAATGCATCCCGTCAGAAGCTCTAAAGAACCTGTTTGCACAGCAGCTGACAACACTGCTTCTAACTGCTCCTCCTGAACAGAACAGACAGAAGCAAAATCACAACCCCACATACTTTTCATACCTGGGCCTCGCAGAAGTGTTTGTTTCTAACTGGATACTCATTCAGGCATCACAAAGTCCAATGGCACAAATCCAACTATTCCACATTCTCAATTCTTTCTTAACTCTAGCCACAGGCTGGACTGCTTGCTGGTTTGAGGAACACAGGAAAGTTTTCTTCTGACATTTCAACTTCACCCAGGCTAGTTCTAATCTCTACTTCTGTGCCTCAGCATTTCAGTCTTCATTCACTGACTGCCCATTAACTATTTTCAATAACAGCATCTGCTAATACTCATTATGCACTTGGTGCACACCCCTTTGCCATCAGGAACACGTGAAGGGAACAGAGCAAGCGCCACTGTGTTTGCATGGAAACGGTGAAGGTGAGGCCAAGTAGCTCCTAAGACTAGCAAGACATGAAGCAGCTCTGACAGCCAAAACATTAAGTTACAATTTGCTAAAGTATCAAAAGGAAGTGAAACACTTCAGTTCTAATAGGATGAAATTTCAACCTGACCAAATACTCTATTCTAATGCCATGGCAGTCCTTGAGAAGGATAATGCACAGGCACACACACACATGGGAAATAATGTAGCAGTTCATTCCAGCTAGTGTTCAGACATTTCTTTAAGATTAAATGATTCTGCATAGAATTTCACATTTCTCTTTTCTTTTACCTTGTCTCTCTTTTATTTAAACATATTCAAACATATATTTGCCTTCTAAGTAAAATTATTACATTCAAAGACATTTCTACACGTTGGCATTTGAAAGCACATGTGATACTTCCATCTTTATCCGAAATCTAGTTTCAGACAACGAAACCTGCCAAATACTACTCAGGGTGGCCAATGAAATTCCAAACCAAATTTCTTGACCTAATTTTGAATTTTCTCTTTCCAGCATCCAAAAGCAGTCCCTGCTCAAATGAATAACAAGTCTCTGAACCACACAGTCACAATTCAGCAAAGGTCAACATAAAATTTCTTGCTTTTCCAAGTTACTTCCTAATCAGAGTTGACATCAGAACATCTAATCAGAACGTATGAGTGTCCATCAGGCTTGCAAAATAAGCATTCTATGGGCAGGGTCAGCTTGACAAGAGGGCTCTTCCCAGTCAAACTCCGAGTTTGGATCTAAGAATATTATTATTTCTGCTAAATATATGTCAACACCTGCCTCTCAGACCAGCTTGAAAGTCACATAAAACTCAGATGGTCATGTCTTGTAGCCACTACAACCTTCAGACAAGAAGGATGTATTTCCCCTGGATTCCCCAACGTACACTCACCTGACTCAGACTGGATGGCTGGACATCAACCAGTCTTGGAGACAGCAAGCCAGCTACAAGACATCGAGTGTATTCAGGGTCTGAAACATCAATCAAAATACACATTCAATCACTAAAGTTTTGTTTTAAAAACAACACCCAGACCAATGGTTTCAATTTAAAAAAAATACCCTGTAGAAGAAAATACCAACCTTCACAATGCAAAAAGAAGTATTTTCCAGCTTGTTTGTCAATACACAGGCCCTAGTATTTTCCCTGACGCAAATTACATTCTGTTAAAGTTAAACCTAACACACAACTTTAAATCACACTTCTGTGCTGTTTTTGCGGAAGCTGATTCATGTTGCAATAATTAGTGAGCTGGAACTTAATTTGAAAGGGTTTGTCACAAGCTGTGCAGTGCCTCAGAAGTTATACTTTGGCCAAGGTTGAGAGAAAAAACATGCATTTCTTCTTAAACAGTTTAATCTCTTTTTTCCCATTCTCCATGCTGTCCTCCTTTCTCAAGTTCATTGGGGTCAAAACCCTAACTCCACACTATACAAAGAAGTAGACACTTCCCCCCACTTCCACCACACTCTCTCTTCCTACTACAACAATGCTGCATTCCTTTCCAGCCATTCACTCCCTGCTCATGCCTCCCTAAAACAGTCTGTACCATTTGCATGGAACTGGCAGGATATGCATGGAAGTGGGCAGTGTGAGCATAAAGTGGTCTCTGACACTCAAAGCACTGCAAGAGAAAAGTTAGAAAAGGTTCATCTCTTGACAGTCCCAACAGAAATACAGTAAAAAAAAAAGTCACCTCCTTCTGGAAGCCGGTGCAAGTCATGTGAACAATTCCCGAGTTGAGCAAGCACGTCACATCTGCAGGAACAAGGAACGTTTGACAGATGTCGTTACCTGATCACCAGTTTATGCTTTTTAAATAGCGCTCTATTTGTCTGAAAGACAAACCTCCAGCACCCCTTTCTTTCATCACACCACTGACACACTTTCCTTAAAAGTAGTTACACTCTGTCTGTAGAAACTTAAGCTCAATCGCTACCCAGGTGCTGTGCTTTGGCCATTTCATTTGATCACCATCAGCCCTTCCTGGGCTATGTTACAGAAGCCCCCAAACCCAAAACCCAGCAGCCTGTCACATACGTTTCACTAGAGTAAGCACCTTGTCAGGACATGGGAACCAGGTCTGAGAAGGTTTATGGGGCTTTTCTTGTTTGGCATTTTGTGTGACAAGCAATGAACAAGAAAGAGAACCACCAAGTAGCATTTGACCTCCACTGAACCCTGTCACTACTCAAATGAAAAGCAGTGAAATACCTACCAAAATTATATGTGCTTGGATTAAAAAACTGTTCAGGTGGTGGATAAGAAGGAGGAACCCCCCGACTTAGACTACGCTCGTGTACCAGAATATCCAAAATGAGGTTTGGAGAAGTCATGCTTATTACAGGATCCAGTGACCACAGTGCAAAATAGGGGCAATCATGAAGGAATTCTTCTGGCCTTAAAGAAAACAAGAGCATAAGTTCAGCAGCAATTTTCAAATTAACCCTCTGTAGGGATATTGAAACCACTTCATTAAAACCTACCTCAGTGAGTCTGGCATTTGAGCATGATACCAGCGATTGATGTCAAACACACCCAAATAAACAGACGGTTTTTCTTGACCGTGTGTATTCACTTGCCAACTGAAGATCGATACACTGGTGTCAGGAGAGACTACTGTCAAAGACAAGACATTGTTTCTTACTGTAGAAAATATGAGATATTTGCTGTTATTTCACTCATGAAACACGTCTCTTTACTAGGAATGATAAAAAAATTTATGAAATAACAACCACCTCTGCAATAGGCTTCAGTCATACTGCCTCTTTTTCTAATTCAAATTATATGTGTTTTAAACAAAACACAATTATTTATTAAGTTTTACATGCTGGATGAATAATTTGGGGGGAAAATATGCTAGGAACACATAGACTTCTATTTTTAGAAAGCATACTTGTGTTTATCTTGTACAGTCGTATCATTCAGGGAGCATGATTGATTCCCATATGCAAGTCAAATTCAGGTAACATTCCTAAGCAACAGACATAATGATCTTACTGTTCAATGAAGACAACTGACAGAACAAACTGACCAGCCTTATACAGATGACCCCATACACTGCTCTAGCATCCCAGCAAACATAAAATAAACCCTATTAATTCCGTTAAAGAATGATGTTCAGAGGGATAAGAAGTCTCACATAACTTAAACAGACAGTTTTGGTTTTTTTTAATAAGCCCTGCAAGGTAAGCTAGATGAATATTTAAGGCTGTGGGTATAGAACAGTATTCATTTAGATTTCCAAACCATTTATTTAGAATAACCAAGCAGGTACAGGAGAACAAACCTTCATTAACGCTATCCTCTCTGTCAGCATGGTTGTGAAATTTTTCTATGGTCTGAAAGCTGAGGAATTTAGTATTGCTGGTCTGCCCTTTCCAGGGAAAGATTCCACCAGAGAGAGCTAAACTGAAAAGTTTGACACAGTATTTAAAACCCTGCGGGAAAAAAATGAAGAAGAGAGGAAAGGCAATTTTGAAATAATAACATGCATTATACCTAAATATGAATTATTGCAAATATTTGACATAATATGCTTATTTTACTGTATGTTTGCCATGAACAGGAGCCACATCTGACATGTAAGAGAATTAAATGTCAAGTCATAATGGGCAAGTTTGGCTCTAAAGGCTTTTGCACATTTTCAAAATTTAGCATTTCCCTAACTCTAGTCTAGATCTAAACACGTTTTGCAGAATTCCTTGCATCATCAAGGTGTCTTTAAAAACCTGAATCTATACTTACAAAGAGACATCTGAAACAATGCAACACATCTTCACACAAAGCCTTTGCTCCATGTTTTAATTACAGAACCTGACATTACAGCAGCTAACGGTCTGTCATGAGATGTTATCGATAGGCACATCAGTAGAGTGAACACTCATCTCTCTAGAAACAATGAGAACTTCCTAGAGATTTAAAACCTTCCTTCAAACCACATAAGCTCTTACCAGAGAAACATCCCTCAATTCCTTATGGACGCACATGGGATTAACATGGACAATGTGTTTAAGATTCCAAATTGCTACAGAGTAAGCAAACTGCTTTGAGATACACAGAAATAGATATACAGAAGGGATGGCCCTGAACCTCTGCCACCACCATTTTCTAAGGAAGCAATAACTGAAATTCTCTTTCCAGTACAGCCTTCACTTAACCTGTCCACCATACAATATGTGAATATGTGTGTATTGTGGGAAAATAGCAGCTCTACAATTAAAAAAGCCCAACAAAACACCAAACTAAAAAAAACCAGCAAAACAAATTCCAAACAAAAAACAAGTTTCCTAAAATTTCAGAGATCTAAAATGAACTGGCATGAAACAACATTATCATTCTCTACATTTAATTCCTCTAATCTGAGAAGAGACAAGTTTTCTCTTAATTGTTCTAGGAAATGCTACAAATAAATATAAAAGTTGTCTAAAGTAAATTAATAGATTAAAAATTCTTTCATCACTGAAAAGAAAAAATAGTAACATTTGTCCTGAAGCATGCACATTCCGTTCTATTTTATTTGGGAATTTTGGAAATAACACATATTCATGCACTGTAGCTAAGAAAAATCAAAACCAGCTCTTAAAAAAAATAACATGAAGCCTAAGCAAAGAATCTTATCTTTCTTATAAAATTACTAAAGATAAAATCAATTTTAATAAAAGATGCTGACCTGAACAAGATGTCCACCATACTAAAGGACAGTTCCATAATATAAAGCACTATAATTCCATAAACTCATCAGGCATTCAAATATCTTAATGACTAGAAATTTCAGCTTTTATTTATATACAAAGAGCTAACTTAACTGATACTCAGGGAAACTTCTTCTTTCCATCTCTCACATACAAGCCTGTCTTACCTCGTACATGACTTGTCCTGATGCCAGACATTTCCTGTCACCAAATGCTAACTGCAACAGATGTAAATTCACAGCATTCCCCTCACTGAAAAAGAAATGAATGAGGAAATTTGATTAAAAAACAGTTTACAATCCTCATTTTCATTTTATTACATCTAAGCTGAAACTAACTTAAGAGCATGCTCTTGTTGAAAAGAAAAACACTGCTTCCAAAAATATGATAATTGGTCACACTTAGCCAGTAAAACATAAAGGATGAAATTTTGACACAAAAGCTTCAGGGGCAAATGCTAACTATACCACTGAAAACCTTTAATATGCAACATGGACCTAAAATAGGGAAATACTCTCCATGAAAACTGCTTTGAAGTCAGGCTCAAGAAGACTGCCACTCTATGAACAGCTGGGCTAAGTAGTTGGCTGATGCTAAGAGAGGTATGTTTGTCTGCTTCCCACCTAAGTTCCAGTCCCTCTCTTGCATGCAGCACACACTTCCATACTCTTATTCATTATCCCAGCTGGAAACCATTGATTGACTTGCTGAACATTATTCCTTTTCTGCCAGGGAAGCTGAAATGGCACACAAGGACTCCAAAGACTTCAGAAGCTCTCATGAAGAAACTAGCAATACTGTCATTGGCCTCTTTTAGGAATAGCTCTATGTGAACAAATATTAAAAAATAAAAAAAAATCAGTGGCTTACGGTAATTTTTATTCACCTTTGTTGTGTAGACTGAGCAGCCCATAAGTAGCAACAATTTTGGAGATCACTCTCGGGCTCTTGAAAAGTAAGAGCACAGACAGGAATCCTTCCTCCTCCAAGCTGAGTGTAGTGCCTACAAGTTTGAAAAAAAAACAGAAAAGACAAACAGTCAAGTCAAGTAAGTGACTTTTTATGCACCATTCAAGGTGAGGAGATTTCTGTCCATCAAAACAATAACCTCTGGTTATGTCGTCCCTCTGCCTGAGGAGGAGGAAAAGAAATTATTTGTTCAGCTGCTAGGAAAAACACTGTTCCTGAAACCTACTTTAATATTGAACTTAAAATACAGTAAATCTGCACATATTTAAAACAACACCAAACACAAGGAGCTTCTCATTTCATTACTTGGACATGAAGTCCAAGTAACTTAACTTTTCCTTTAACACTGAACCTTAGCTGTACCTTCACAATCTTTTCCTGACATCTAATTATGTCTCCACTATCTATTTATGTATCAGTAATTTTTGGTAACTGCAGATTTGCTAAAGCAAGCCCCAATCTGATTTTGGCCAAGTATTTAAAGTATGATTGCTTTTCAGCAGATTTTGAAAAATTTCTTTTTTTTTCTATTGTTTATAAATTTACATGTTTCTTATTCTCATCTCGAAGGCTTCCAAAGAAAATTTGATTAATGTACATCTATGCCTTGGAATGGGTCAATCCCCTACTTGCATCAAGGCTGAAATGTAGGAAAGAATATGCTTTCAGGCACAGATCAGCTATTGAATTATCTTGTCACACTAGTTCCATCCTGGTCCCTTAAAGAAAAATAATCAACAAAAAACCATTATGCATATACTGAAGCCTTTCAGTGCATGCCCTAATTGCAGTAACTGGCTCTGAGAAATAATTTCTAAAACCAGTCACATGGAAAAACACGCATCATCTTATTTCACTGGATACAACTGCACAGAACAAACTGACTTATAAAAATCAGATCTCTCACATCCTTACTGTCTGACACGACCCAGTACTTTCCATAAGACCTCTATCCACAGTCATGGCAAGAAATCAATCGCAGTCCACAGCAGAGAAGGCGCTGCACTTAATCCACATAGGAGTTATTAGTTATTTCAGAAGAGGATTTCTGAACACTCCAAGGTTATACCCAACATCCCACTCACAGAAAAAGGGCTCTTGAAATTAATATATTTCCTGAAGCAGACAGATTGAGATTCCCTGCACCTCCAAGTGTGACAAAGCGGAAGTGACTACTTACGCCCTCTTCAAAGTTTTCATGTTCCCCAGTGACAAGTAGCCATCAGAAAAACCCACAACAAGCTGGTTGCTTCTGCTTATGTAGCACAGGGTTGATACTGCTGTTCCTGAAGGACTTCGTAATTGAAAACAGAGATGCCTCCCTTCTCTGGTCACAGCTTCTCTTCTTTGTGGAACTTCAGCAGGAATTCTAGTGACAACTTCGAGATCTACACACAGAAAAACAGGCAAGAAATTAATGCATTGTGCCACTTCCATTGCATTTTAAACTGATGTGATTATAGAACACATACAATCTAATTCTACTGTGCCAAGCAAAACACCCATTTCTGCAGCACCTTTTTTCACTACTCCTGTCTCTGCACCCATTCAGAAATACAAGCACCCTCCAATGGGATGGGTCTTGTCACTCCTATTTCAAAACTCAGTACAAATGTACCCATTGTAGCCAAATTCTTCTTGCACCCTATAAAGCAGGAGTTTGGGCCTCAAGATGAAGCTACTTGAGCTCCTGAAGCCACTCTTACCACACCCAAAACAGCGTATGCAATCTGAAAACACAAACTGCCGTATTCACTGACCCAAATGCAGAATTTTTGATAAGCCACATTCATTTTAAAACACACGCCTAAAGCCTGCCACAAGTCATTAATGGAAACAGGAGAACACTCCCAGGAATTATGGTACCTCTAACACAACTTCCTGTCACGCAGCTGCACTGACTCAAATGGAAAAATTCCTACTCCCACTGGTAACAATCACAGGGACAAGGGAATGTGGGCAGCAAGAGGCCCTCTTAACATCAGCAGCAGTATTAAGCCACTCCCCATTTTTTCATCAGTTCAGCACCACACCACATCAAACTGCCAACTCCAACCAGCAGTCAGCAATGTCAGAAATGGCAGTAGTCCGTCAGCACGCTGGGATCTTCACTGGGATGCGAGCTGGCTTTGGAAGAGAAACAAATCTTCTTACCTCTAAATTCAAGTTTAAAAACAGCAGCTTACCTGACGCTTCTACTTCATTCTGACTGCAAGACAAATCATCCAAACAAAGGTCAACCAGAAGGACATGGCCAACGTCTGTGGCCACTGCTGCCACTCCAAAGAGCCATCGCAGACTCTGATGCAGGTGCCGGGTGCTCACGCTGGCTCCGCCGTCGTTGCTGATGGGTTCGATGGCCGTCACCTGCAGGGAACTGCAGCTTAGTATCCAAGCTCTGTGACAGGCTCAAGAGTAATCACTCAGAAGGGAAGCCAGCATTGGCACAGCAGAAACAGGAAAGGAAATACAGGATAAGATTTCCATGGGAATGAAACATTCCTAGAAAGGCTTGGAGAGAGATGCTGGCTTACTAAAATCTACACCGCTCCTCACTTTGACTGGTAATATCTAACAAAAATTTTCAATGCACACCAGCTTATACTGTTACACATGGCAGAGAAAACTGTAAAAGGCAGCCTAAAACAACAGCTACAAGAGACCAAACAAGAACTTGCTCAGCATGAGGCAGGAGCTCCCTCTGCTCCCTGACACACCAAGCAGTCCCCACAGCCTCAGCACAAGGTGAAGACAGACCCTTCAGCACCCACAGCACACCCAGGGGACAGCACTGACTGCTCTAGCAGACACAAGCACTCCAGGGCCCCTGCACTACAGCTGGACAACACAAGAACTGAGGCTATCTTCTGGCCTCTTACAAATGCAGCACCATGAAAGCAGACAGCTTTACATCAGCAACAAAGCATTGTCTGAAAACAAAGCAAAGAAGCGAGCGCCACAGGCTAGTCCATCTTTTTATGTAGGTTATTTACCCCCAGAAGTGGGGGAAAATATCCAAACACAAAGGCTCCCTGAAGTTTTCTCCTCTCCTGTATCAAGCACTTGCTTATGACTGCACTGCCCAGCCATCTGCTATACAATCCACCTTTCACCTTGAACACAACAATTCTAATTGTAGAAGTATCTATAGTTATTTAGGAAACTTGGTTTTCTTTCAGAATTCCTATGATTCAAATTAAATTTTCAATCTTCTCTACTGCTCAGAGGACCAATAAAAGTATTTTGATTACTCAGATTCTTGCGCTCCAAGTGTTGGTGACTGCACTGAGGAAATACAGAACACATCTTGCTGTGCAATTAGCCAAGGTTAAAGTGCTGCTTCTAAATTTTTTTCAAGGTATTTTTTTCACTGTACAACTGGCTCCAAATGAATGTTTACTAGTTTTGCATAGACTAGTCTTCCAAAATATTCCCTGGCTGCTTCAATTTTCCATGAAGAAGCTCTTGAAATTATGTTTTTTCCATTATGCTATGCACTGCCTTTTCCTATTCTCTTAGTGCTCTGACAACTCATTCTGGGAAAGAACAAAGAAAACTTTTCTCAGCTCACTGAATCTGAATGCTGCCCTTCTGCCTCATGTAAACCAGGAAAATTTGAGAAAATACCATGCAACAGTTCTGAAACATGCAACTGTTAAAAACCAATGTTTCATCAATTCATCAAATTGTTTAGAATTCGGAATATGTTTATAATTTGGAATCCAATTCAAATCATACACATCAGCATTTTCAGTGTTCTGCTGCATTTCATATATATATATCAATAGGGCACTGAGAGACACTCAAAGACACATGAAAAGATATTATGCAAAATTCTTTCTAAGCTCCTGAGTTTGGGTTTTTTAACTTATTTCTTTATTCTGTGAATGACTCAACATCCACTGTTACACTAAAAAGCAGTCACACAGTCACAATAAACACCCTGTATTAATACACTAACAACTTGACACCTTGGAGCAGAGTTGCTCTAAGGTAAACTGTACAACTTAGCTGTCAACAGAAGTTATACCCATTGAGAAAATGCAGTGCTCGTTAAAGGTGTTAAAGAGTAATGACAAAACTAAAGAAAGTGATGTTAAGATCCACATTTTACCTTTAAAAAATTATCAATCTGAAAATCAGAGAAACATTCACACAGATCAAGCCCCCCCCAAAGTATACATTACATAATATGCACATATGAATTTCTCAAAGAATTCAAAAGACATGGACAGCAGCCATGTGCAAGTTATATCTACTTGGTTTTGCTTACCCTTACTCCTACTCACAGTCTGAAAATTAACAGTCCAATTAAGTAATACCTGTGACCTGACTATGCTGACTAAACTAACACCAACAAAGACATAGGACAACACAAGAACATAGGAAGGAAAAGGAAAGCAACAGACCAAACACACTTGTAATCAAGAGCTTTCAGGGAATAAGGGCAAAACTCAACGCAGCTTTGGCTTTATTTCAAAATTCCTACCCTTTATCACACAACAGCTAACTTTTTCCTGCAGGGCTTCATCATCTTTGCTCCTGAACCAGTTTTTGTGGTATAGAACAACTCCAATACAACTGATTGCTGGAACTAGCTTCTATTTCAAAACACTTCCGCAGCTACAGATTTGTCATGCAACATAAGCCTTACTTCTTAACCTTTGCTTTTCCTAACTTACTTAGATAGAAGAAATAAAACCTAACACACCAACATCACTTACCAAAACATAATTTACTTACTGATTATTCATGCTAGCACACAGCCTTTCCATCCACAACTCAAGCAGATAGCAAAACAACACAATGGAACACTGATCCAACTCATATCTTTAGAACTTATCACAACACAAATGCTTATTACTACTAACAACACTTCCACCTGTACTCTAGCAAGACAAACCAGATAATGTTAGAGAAAGCTGGGTAGTAAATGAGTATTTATCTGTTGCATATTCTAAGATGATAAAACACAGTGAATCTTGATGCCCTGAAAACTTAATCTGATTCTTGTTTCCATTACATTAATGAGACACAGGGACACAACATCATTTGAGTCCAAGGGTTATAGAAAGCAGAAAAAATTATTGACATTACACCACTGTATCCCATCTACACAAACATCTCACTATAAAAACCTAGATTGTATATCTGTATTATACATATATACATATATATATATATATATCACACAAAAATCTAAACTATATTCAACAAGCAGAGATTCAAGGACAGCAGACTGAAAGTAAAACTGGCAACAATCTGACAGATAACTCACTAAAATCTTTTTTCCAATCCTAAGTTAACAGAAAAATCTGTTCTGTTCCCAAGTCACCTGCTTCCTAGTCTGAGATTGATGGGAATGTGTCAAAGTCATTAACAGCAGTGATGGGAGTCTGAGATACTTTAAGGACAGTATTTCCGATAGAAATTAACCATTTAGAAAAGGTATATTACAGACAAATTAAGTGGGGTTTTCTTTTTTACTCTGAAAAATAAAAGATTTTCAATCCCTTTTATAAAAAAAGTGGAGAATTACATCACAATGTATTCCACAATATTTTTTTTACTCTCAGTAAACTCAAAAGATAATGCTACTGCTAAGTCCAAGATTTTACATCAAGGCTCTCCTGACTGGGTAGTCAGAACTGACAATATGTTAACACAAAATAAAAAGAAAGAATAAGTTGTACAGAGATGCACAAGAGCCCTTCTTGAAACAGGATTATTCAGCACCAAACACAAAATCCTCATTTTCTCAAGATACATACCCTTCCTGGAAGAACAACTGCTTTAACCACTCTTGAGGTCCCAAGGTCGTACAGGCAGAGAACACTTCCCTCTGCTTCCTCCAAGCCAACCAGGAGCCCAGTCCTCTTCTGCCAAGAAAACTCCTTCACCACGCGAACAGTGGGAGGCTGCTCGTTCACTCCGCTGAAGCGATACGCAGAGAGACGCTCTCCTGTCACTGAGTTCACCACCTCCAGCTGGGGACCACACGCCAGCCACGCCAGGCCACTTCTGCCTGCAAGGCAAAAGAAACACCACTGAACAAATCCCCAGCACAAGAACTGAAACAACAGCAAGGCCGCTGGCACTGGGCCTTTCCCTCAAGTGCACCAAAGGGAGGAAGGAAAACCTACCTACATCCCCACCATTCTTTTCAACCACCCACTGCAATCCTCAACCAATACATCTTAGAATTAAGAACCCCATTCTTTTGCATTTGTACTTGTCTTCCCTGCACTCAAGAACGTTGACTCTTTGGGATAAAGATTACAATACACTGAGCTCCAGGCTGTATCCCATACTTGGATTGGTTTTGCTAGAAAACACCTAAATATGTACAAAGTCTCAAAGCATACTTCACACACAGCCCATCTAAACCAATTCATTTCCAGTTAAGAATTTTGCTTAACACACGACTACTCTGGGCAGGGATTCCGACAGGAAATTATCTTCAAGTGGGCACTGCATCCGGAAATTTCAACTTTTACACCTGCACTTCCCAGAAAGAATTTAACAAGCGTTGTTTCACTGAAGAATTTAACACTTGTTCCTTAGCTGAGGAACTTCAAGCTCATAGCAAGGATTAGCTCCATTACTGCACTTACAGACAGGGCGATAAGATTCTACCTGGTCTTAACAGATGCCAAGACATCCACACAGGCATCCAGCTCTACCTTCAGATCACCGAGAAAGTCAACTGCCTAATCTGCTTAGCTGCTCTCAGCAACTCTCACTGGGTCTCATCTGCAGCCTATTAAATAATACGTGGGCAGTTCTTAACAGAGCTGTCCTCTTCCCATTTTTTATTTGGACTAGAGAAGAAAAAGGAGCGCATTGTGTCTCTGGAACTACTTCTGCATGGGATGTTATGATGGACGTACAGCTTGGGATAAAGAAATTTCTCCCAAAACAACACTATTTCTTTCTTGAAAACTATCTTCTATTTCATTCAAAACTGAGGAGGACATGGTCAGCTATATTACTTATATAGCACAGGACTGGAGCAGGCTGTTGCACCTTCAATGCTTAGCACTTCCAATTGTTAAAAATCCTGTCAGCACCAGCAGAACCTGATGCATTTTATTTAACAGAACCAACCTGATGCTATGACCCTGTGCTTCAGGCAGTAACAACTTTACACCAAATCCAAATTTAAAGGAAAATGCTCACCTCCAGAAAACTTCCCACACAGCACAGAGTCTAGGGTGATCTCATCTTCCCCAAGTGCCTCAACAGTCACCTCTGGAAACTGCAGCAGACTGCTCGTTACCTGAGCCGTTAGGTCTCGCATTCTTCACTGCAAATAAAGAAAAAAAGGCAAAAAGACTCATGTCAGCCATAAATATCTTTGAAACTGACCCAAGCTTCATCAGTATGCAGTGACAAATCTCCCATACATCATTTGTAGATCTTTTCTGCTTAAAAGAAATGGCACTTGGGACATTTTTTCATCTCACAGCAGAGCAAATGGAGAATCTTGAGCTTTTCTGATGCCTACAAGATTGCCAACAAAAAGTAATCCAGAGGGGTGGACAAGATCAATAACAGGGAAGAGAACAACACACCAAGTTCAAATCTACTCATACATGTTAGCAAGATTTGTTCTCAGAATTTTAAAAAGTTTGTGCTCTTCAGGAAACATAAACCCGCAGCAGAAGATAAGAAATAGAAAGCATTTCAGCACTGTATCCCAATAGCCCCCAACAGCCAAGATTCTGTATTTGATGCAGACCAAAGGTTTGACTTTCCTTTAAGTGAGAAAACAAACAAAACCAACAGAGATCAGAACTGGACATTAGAGCAAATTCACCCAGCTATCTGCTGTGGTTCTTGTCCGACACGACTCTAGTTTCTTTCAAGAATTGCAGCCTAACATGGCCAAGCAAGCAAATTTGCTAAAGTCTGTGCTGAGTCAATGCTTGTCTCTACATCGCTTCCTTTACCTGGACAGATAGACATAGGGGCTCAGTACAGAACACAACAGTGTGGTATTTCACTGCTTGTCCCTCCCAGCACCAGTTCTAGAATCGTGGCTTCCTAACGGAATTCCAGAATGGCCTTCAGGAACCGCTGACAACCATCTCGTCCAACTGTCCTGCTGCCCAAGCCATCAGCTAAAGCAGGCTGCCCAAGGCTGTATCCACATGGATTTGGAACATTTACTTCTCCAACAGGTTTTTACAACCAGCAGCCTGACAAGATCAACTGCAGAAACACCTGCAACCCACGCAACAGGGCCTGGTGTTCAGTGACTTTCTCCTGATAATTGAAGGATTCTATTCTCTCCACCACACCACTAAAGCAGCGTCACACCGGGGAAGGCCTGTCACCAGTGTTTCTCCAAAGCCATATCCGAAGCCTTACTAGGCAGAGCAGGCAGTCGGGCAATCCCCGTGCTGTCTGTCAGGCAGCACGGCTCCCTGCAGCAAGGCCCAGCCCGGCTAAGCAGCAGCCATGTTGCTGTCAGGCACCCGCAGGCAGCGCGCCCCGCCTCCACCGGCCGGGCCAGCCGGGGAGAGCTGCTGCTGGCTGCTCCCACGAACAACGTATCCATCTCCTGCCGCAGCGAACGCTGCGGTCCGGGAGACGCCGTCAAAGGAAGGTATTCGACTCTGGGAGAGCATCCAGAGGAGAGCAAGCAAGATGGGCCGTGGGGGCCTCAGGGCCTAGCAGGGAAGCTGTATGAGGAGCAGCTGAGGTCACTGGGTCTGTCCACCGGGGAGGAGAGTGAGGGGAGACCTCATAGCAATCCACGACTTCCTCATGACATGGAAGAGGAGGCACAGGCACTGATCTCTCTCTGCTGGCCAGCGACAGAACCAGAGGGAAAGAACTGAAGTTGTGTCAGGGTAAGTTTAGGGTGGACACCGGGAAAAGGTTCTTCACCCAGAGGGTGGCTGGGCACTGGAACAGGCTCCCCGGGGAAGTGGCCACAGCACCAGCCTGACAGAGTTCGAGAAATATTTGAACAATGCTCTGAGGCACATGGGGTGGCTCTTGGGGATGGTGACGTGCAGGGCCAGGACTGGGTGATCTTTGTGGGTCCCTTCCAACTCAGTTTATTCTGTGATTCTGTGTGAGAGCATGTGCTACATTTTGGTGTTCAGTTCCAGGATGACAAAAATGTAGGTAACACTAGTAGTTATTAATAATTAATTTGTAATACTTCAAAGTAATGAACACCAGACATGCATTACACTTAGGTGAATAAGGAGAGAGAAAATACCTGTGAGTCTACAACAGTGTATTAGCGAAAACTGATTTTAGTTGCTTCTTTGAATAAGATCTTACCTGGCCCATGTAACTGTTGGGTCCTGTTGAGATGAGCACACCGTTCTTGTCCCTCAAGGAAGACACCATGGTCAGAAGCCATAACAGGTCAGATCAAAAGCAAAGGTTTTTCTGTGCCCTGGACTCCTGGCATCATATATGCTTGTGCTGCTGGTTTTCACAGAAATCACACACCCACCTCCTGCATCCTTCTCTCGCTGTTATTAAAATCCCAGTTGTAGTCTCAAAATACAAGCAAGCAGTCATTCACTAATAATTCACGGTTTGGTTCAGGTTTAAATCAAGCTCTGCAGCAATGCACAGCACATCAATGCCTGCTGTGAGTCTTGACACAGGCAAGGAGGAACCGACCTGAACACACACATAAGTAAACATAAGCTGCATTTTTCCCTCTACCTCACATATTGGTCATCCACACAGCCCAGTGCTGGAAAATGCATTTTATTTTAGGAACAGCTTTAATTCAACAGGAACCACAGAATGTTTATCTTCAAGCACATCAAAGAGACTCATCTTGACCACTTTGGTGAAAAAAAACATTCCTGGAACAGAAACCCAGAAGTCTGCACAGAACAGAAGTATGAACAAAAGAAACAAACACTGTCCTATTACCTAAAATTCTATTATTTAAGTATTAGCAGATTGGCTTAGACTAACTGGTTTGCAAGCAATGCCTAACTACTCATAAGAACCTGCAGATTGTTTTCTGCCCATAGCTTTTTTTTTCCCCCACCAGAAATCAACAACTTTGCTATATATTAGTTACACGGGAAGTAATGAAATTGCAGCAAATGAATTTATTGCACTGACAACCCTGAGAGTAGTCTTCCACAAGAGGAAGTTCTGATGGGGGATTAAATAGTTATCTGTGCCCTTACTTGCACACTGGACATGTACAAATATTAAGGCAAATAAAGTCAACATGAATCAATTAGCACTTCAAGCACTGAGTGGCTATTGAAAATAAAACAGATTTAACTCTCCTTTGTATTACAACCTGGAATGAATACTTTCATCAGCCTTAGCTTATAAATATTTATAGAAAAAAAAGTTTTTGAGGTAACTCAAGAGAACCATTTCCACTGTAACACTTACTTTCTTTACAAAGTTCTTTGAACAACAGCCCTTAATGTCATTCGTACTTCCATCACTAATATCTCCTCTTTCCAGGTGCTTCCTGGAAATAAAATCTGCCATTGCACCCCCTTTTATTCTTCCTGAAAGCTAGGATTCTGCTGTCCCAAGGGGATCAACCTTCCAGTGGAGTTTTCTCTGGGGTTACACCCCAAAGGTACTGATGCATAATCTGGCTTCAGCTTTTAGCCATCCAGCACTTCATTAGGGGATAAAACACCCTTCAAGCAATTACTTTCCTATAGAAAAACTTCAGAATGTTCTATTTAGCAATGAGCTGTAGCTCCTCTGAAATTTCCACTTTGTTTGCAAGAAAATTGCAGCTTTCTTCCCTTCATTATAAACCCATCCTTGAGCTGGTGTCTTAACACCATTCCCCAGCACACCATTCCTTTTCTCAGGCTCTAAACAGTCAATGTCTGGTTTTGCTTTCATTTCCTTCTATGTTCTTCAAATTTCTCAGCTCCCACTCCTTGTTACACATTATGCTCATGCTCCTTTTTAAACTGCTCCTCGGGGCCACTGGTCAGCACTGGAGAACTATGCACTGAATACAAGTTATAAAAAAAAGAGTAAAAGGTTTCAACACATAATTAAAACTCTTTTAAAGTAAAAAGTCACTGGAAAATTGCAAACCTTTAGGAAGTTATTAAATCTAATGCCAATTGTCTTTTGCTATTGCTTGCTTTATTCCTAAGCACAGACAAATGTGGATATTTTAGCTGAAGTATAAATAAAATAGGCGCCAAAAACTAATAAAAATCAGCTAATACTAAATTTTCATCTGTTCTAGTTTTCATACCAAAAAATATACATATATATATAAATTACAGAAATGCGTTAAAACCCTATTAAGCAATCTTCACTAGCATTCCATCAGTCAATTCCATTTCACAGTGGAGTATTTTTCAAATACTCTTGCACACTACAAAAGAAGATTTTCCATCTGTACTCTATTCCAATTTTGAAAATTTGACCTTCTACCCCATTTTCTGAGCTATTCACTGTGCTATACTTCTGTGCAATGTGAATATAAAAAAATATTGCTAAACTTCCCTCCCCTCTCCTTTTGGACCATATTTATAGTTATTCAAGTACAAAATACAGAGAGAAAATAATTACTAACTGACTCACAGGTCTCAATTTACTGCCACTTTCACATTTTAAACATTTGACTTTTTTTTTTTTTCAAGCTTTCATTCAGTCATGAATACTTTCCCAAGGAGAAAAATGAATATTCAAATGCATGCAATTGCTTCTCTATCATGATCAGTTCTGAGACAGAAAAATCATGGCCCCAGAACAATCTTCTTTCACAAGCTCAGTCTGTTATTAATACATTCATTCACTATGTACAAGCTATTAGCTAATAAATAATTTATGTCTTAAAATAACTGTAGTTTTTACTAATTGAAAAGTTTAATATCAGGTTCCACCATTCTGTAGTCTTCAAAGTTGCATCCATATATAAATTAACATACAGAAAAATAATCCATTGTCTAAAAGACTGCACATCAAAATAGTACTTCCATGTCTGCTTTTAAAAGAATAGGTTTGTCACTTTATTATACAAATTGAAACTTTATAGGGACATATACTCCTTAACCCAAGACTGTTAATGAAATAATTATTCAAAAATATGGTTTGTAACTGAGATTTCTGTACATTTTTGTACCTTTTTCAGACTATTATATAGGTTTTACCATCAGGTTTTCAGTGCTGTAATATGCAGGTTTCAAATACTGTGAAGCATGTTTACAGACAACAAGTATTTCAATTATAGAAGCAGTCGTATTACGAAAATAATTTTGTCTCAAATTTCAAAGTATCTGGGTAGTATCCCTTTAAATCTGATATGCTATTGTAAGCATCACACCATCTGTACAGTTAACTTTTTGCTGACAACAAATTTTAAGAAGTAATGTCACATCTGAGGTGTGATCTGGTTTTATGAACTAAAGAGCAGCTTTCCCAAAGTTTAAGACAAATACAAAAAAAAAATATTGCACAGCTTAAAACACAATTGTTTACATTCTGACTTCAATACAGTACAACTTAACCATGAACATAAGGAATTACCAGTTTGTATTGTAAGTCCAATTACTTGTGCCAGAAGGTCAAACATAATTTTAAAATTAAAACTAGTATGTTTAAAATGTTTACTTGTTATAGGAATTCTAAACAAACCTTTAAAAAAATTTCGGAATCACTTTTGAGAGTCTGTAACTCCCACAAACCAACATTAAAAGTTCTGAGCAATACAGGTCATTCAACCCAGTATTCCCTCAAAAAGCTATCAGACAGTAAGCACATTGTGAAGTATACATTTTATTTAACATTCCTAAAATAAGCTGTATTTACATATTATATAAATGTATGAAGTCTTAATATAAAATAGAAAACTGCATTGACTGAGGAAATCACACTCCATATGGAGTTACTTACTGAAGACCATTTTTTTATGAAATTTTACAATAATTTATATAAATTATCTCTTCCAAATTAGATGATTTTTCTTCTTTTTACTAATTCACACAATTTTGATGACTTTACAAACAGTGGTGTACATTATAAACTTAAAAAAACAGTTACAGCATCTTCCGGCGCACAACTGGCTTTGGAAAATTAGACAGTCTTTTTTTGTTCTTTCTTAGGGTCTTCCCTGCTGCATCTGTAGTTTCTTTCTGTTTGGTTTTTGTTCCATCCACTGGACTTCCAAAAGGAGAGATGAATTTTATTTCGACTGGTGGAGGTGACCAAGAACCTTCTTTTATGGTTCTGCAAAGAAGGATAGGCATCAAATCAATTTTTCATTACTAACAGTATTTAATCGAGGAAAAAACCAAATTCCAAAATCAATTTAAAAAAAAAATGCATGGGCCTCTTTGTTGATAGACTCAAGGCAGAAAAGGTTCATAAGTAAGTTTTGTTTTCCCTTCATTCCTGTTACTCATTGTTTGGCCACGTCCCACCTTGGATGAGAAACTGAACTGGAAGAGTGTGGTTTCATAAGGTGGAATAAGACAACCTAAGAGCATTGCGGTATCACCAGTGCAATAAGTATCCACCTGCTCTTTTCTATCCCTCTCTCTTCCATTTCCATTGGCAAACCAAACCCTTAAATGGGGAAAAAGTGCCTATTAGACCAGCAAGCTGGACAGGCTGACAGTGAGAGAAGACTTGCACAGCCAAGTGAGGAAGAAATAGGTATTTAACAGCTGAATCACCATCACATTAAGAAACGTCAGTAACTGTTCAAAACTTATTTCATACTTGCTTGCTTTCTTCATTTTTGATTTTGGAGTTCTACCTCTCTTCAATTTTTGCTTTCCCCCAGACTCTATGGATTTGGTATCCTCTTCCTCTTTAGCTGGAAGCTCCTATGTTACGATAAGAAAAATGTTATTCATGAACAAGTTCTTAGACTTCTAAGGAATAATATTATTTTTTCATTAAGAAATCATGCCAAAGTTATTTCCAAAAGTACCCTTTGTTTGCAAAAACAAACCTTCCACATCAAATTGTTTTACCATCCCAGAAGAAAAAATTCTGAAATTAACAGATAACACACCAAGTCAGTTAAAGAGAGCGACCATGCCTTTTGTTAAAGGCAAATCAGTGTTTATCAATTCTTCATTTACATAGATTCAAAACTTATTTTCATAGCTAGTTTACATGAAGAAAAACAATAAAATTTTTAGCTGATTAATTTAAAGCTCTTTTTAGATATGTTTCCAATGAAAAAGGCAAAGCATTGCAAAGCACAATCTCAAAAAATGGTACAGAATTAAAATCAAGAACATGGGACAACTGGAGTTTTTACTTACTGCTTCTTTCACAATTCGGGAAATGCTAGACACATTTTTTCTCCTTGACCTCAAAAGAGGGGGTGAAAAGACAAATTGAGAAGACAAATCCGGGTCTAAGTCCTTAAACTGGACAGGATGGTCTGTTTTTCCAGCTGAAATGACAATCTATTGTTAGTATGCACATATGTTATACGTGAGGGACAGTAATATTAAATTACAGCTGACAAATAAGAGCACAATAGCTTCCCAGAATAAAGGTCCAATTAGCTTTATAAACACTCCATGCAAAAGCATTTTTCTCCCTAGTAACCACCTCTTGGGATTCATTCTTTTACCATAAATAGTGAAACAAAACTAAGCCAGTGTAGTGATTTTACCTGCCTCTACATTATCAAATATATTACACTCCAGAGGCATCAACAGTCCTCACACATCTCTAATTAGAAGACTGCTGTGTACACTAATTTCACTGACAAAGTATACATTCATGAAAAAGAATCACAAACAGCTGCACAGTTTGTTGCAAGATGCAGCTCATTTGAACTTGAAAACTGAACAGAATTTGGAAGCACATATCCTTTATTTCTCTGTTGGGGGGGAAGGGATGGCGATCACATATTCACAAATAATCTCGTTTTCAAAATCTGACAGAAATGAAATTCCTTAAAAAAATATATCTTAAATTTAATTTCATGGCTTAGATCAGCTTCATAATCTCTTTCTACCAGAAATCAGCAGGCAGTCACACAGACTTCAGCCAAAAGATGAACTGCCTCTTGGCAAATTTTTTCTTTTGCATACTTACATTCTTTTAAGATACTTAAAGCCACCCTCACAGTATGTTTTCTGTGGTTTAGAGGGAACATGCCCTATTTTGCATATAAACATATTGCACCTACCTTCAAATTTCTTTGTCAGCTTTGTCAGAGGAGGAGAGAAAAGGAAAGCCTCATTTTCCTCAACAGACTCTTTCTGATAGATGGCAGTCCTTCGGGATCTGGTTCTTGTAACACGATCTGTCAGAGCTCTTGATGTCTGATCCCGTCCTGAGGGATTTATGTCTTCAAGCAGCAAAGGACTGCCACCAGATCCTTGGGAGGTCTCCTCAGACATTGACCTCCTCTTCCTGCCCCGACGCCCTGTCCTTACTGTCGTCCTGGGTGTGGTTGTCTCCTCACTTGGCTCTGCAGGAGTTTGCTCATGAGTATCCATTTTTTCTGGATTCTCGTGTGGCATTCTTCTAGCTCTCCTCTTAGGAGTACCAAGGACTTCTACTTTCACACCTGAATGTATGTCTTCCTGAGAAGAGGTAGACTCTGGGTCTGCCAAGAGGTTCTGTGCTGCCTTCCTAGCACTTCTTCTAGGCGTGACAGGAAGTTTAAATTCTGTTTGAGGAAGCGATGATTTAGACACATCAAGATCAGAATTTTCTGAAACTTCTGATGAACTAATCTTTCTTCTTCTGCCTCTTTTACTTTGCACAGGTAAAAGGAGTTGGTCACTAAGCTGCACCTGTTGATCCTTGACAGTATCTTCAGTAAACTGTAAATTAAAGCTTTTCAGTTTTCTTGCACTTCTACTAGGACTGACTGCTGTTTTTACTTTATGATCAGTGTCAATCTTGCCAGTTTCTGGATTTCCAGCTAAACTTTTTCCTCCTTTAGTCCTTCTGGAAGTGAAAGAAGCAATAATGCTGCCTTCAGCAAGAGGCGTTTCCTCATTAGCCTGTTCTTGGAGTTCAGATGCAGCTTCCTTTGCTCTCCTTAATCCTCTTCTGGGAGTAACAGGCCCCGTACTGTCAGACAATGTTTGCCCATCAGAATGGCTGCTTTCTGTTTTTTCTAAATTGGACAGTTTAGGTTTCCTACCTCTCCTAGGAGTAACAGGTGTCACAGGTATTTGCTCCTCTTGAGCATTTTCCTCTGTTTGGAGTCTGAGAGTCTCAGATGCTTCTTTTGTTCGCCTGGTACTTCTCCGAGGAGACAGTCCAAGCAGAGCTGGGCTGTCTGTCTTCAGCAGCTGCTGAGTGCCTGCTGACAGTACACTCAGACTTCTATTCAGCTGTCCCCTTGTGCGTGTTCTAGGAGCAATACCATAATGATGTCTGCTGGTTTCCTCTCCCTCTGCTTCTAGCACAGGCATTAAGGGAGTTTTTGCCTTCTGGAATCTAGTTACCTTTCTACCTATGGTTTCATGAATAGATTGTTCTACAACTTCAGATGTAAATTCTTTACTTCTCGTGTCTTTGATTACATCCAGTAAGTTCTCAGCAATGGCAACCTTAATAGGTTCAGGCACATATGGGAGTGACTCTGCAATATTTTGAGGTTCCTGATCACCAGTTACAGTGGACACTGAGTTTGTAACATGTTCCTGGCTTTCAGTATTTCCTAAATTAGTCACAGGTTTTTCTTCTCTTGTTGTGTCATCTGGTTTAGAAGCTTCTACTGATGTAGGGTCTCCCATCTCTGCTTCCCCTTCTTCTCCTTCCAAAACTAAGGTAAAATTACTCTGAGATAGAAAAAGGTCTCCATCTCCCTCAGCTGCATCACATTCACTGTCTTTGTTATCAGGCAAATCACATGCAAACTGTTGCTCTATATTTTCATAGCTATAATGAAGATCACTTGATGGATCTAGCTCACTATATGGTGATGTTTCAGGTGCTGGTTCTGGGGTATCTTCTATAACCTGAAGTTAAAAAATGTCTGTTAATAATTTATTCAATACCAAACAGACTCATTTCACACTGAGTCAGATGAAACTGAGGACAGTTCCCTAAAGATCACCCCTGAATATAAAACAATGTGCTTTTGTACTACAGCTAGAGTTTATGCATTTGAGACACAGGGATCAGAGCAGTCCCTGTGTGCAGTTCACATGCTCTGTTTGTGATATTGCTGTTCAGAAATTACCATTTGCCACCACCCATGACCAGGAGCAGTTTTCCAACACAAGCTGTGTACACAACCTGCAGTGACTATCACATTGCAGTGCCCTCTGCACTGCTCCACAGCCGGAGTGACCCACTCTGCCTCCAACAGGGTAAAATACAATTGGGTCCCCAATAAAAAAAAACTTCAGTCATGCTTGTTCTGACTGCAGCACTTAGACTGGCCAGGTATTGTCTTGATAGGACATTTGTGGTTGAGTTCTTTTCCCCCTTGGACTGAGATTGATGAGAGAGAGGGAGTTTTTTCTTGTTCGGACTTGGTTATTCTTCTTTTATCTGCATTACATGCATACAAGGTACAAGGAGCTATGTGCACTAAGATAGAAAGGTGCAAAATGGCTAACAAAGATCTTCTTCAAGGTTTTTTCTATGTCCATTTACCCAATTAACAAATGTTAAGTAAATTATTTTTCTTAGTGACCCAGTGACCCAACACCTGTGTGCCGCACTGCAGTATTCTCTAGCTAATTACTACTACCCAAAAACCTCTAAAAGAAGAAGATGAAGGAAAAGAGACAACACTCTAAATCTTCCATTTTGTCTTCTGTTCTCTAAACTAGTTTAAACTCCAAACTTTTTCACCCAGTGACTTAAGAAAACTCTCTAATTTACACACTTGCACTCCTAGTTTTTCTATTTAACAGTTGTTTTCACAGTGTTATATGAAATTCATTGTTTTCTTGGATGTCAGAGCCAGGTATCAGAGATAAGGGCACACACTCTGTGCCTCTGACTCCAACAAGGTATCACATCCCACAACTCAACACTGCACTTTGAGGAGTCACTTGGATTACACGAGATAACACATACTTTTTAAATGCCTCAATCTCTTGAAGAAATATCTTGACACCAAAATGAGCTCATTACTGGGAATTTTGTTTGTGTGAAGAAGGAACAAACAGTAAAGGGCCTAAACACCTACATTATTCCGAGTTTGGTTCTCACATCTTTTTGTCATTTGGTAAATGATTACTAGTACAAAGAAGCTGCACTCCTGTCACTTTCTTATTGTCTTTAACATTAAAACTATTTTTTTAAAGTGAAATAAAAAAGTTTGAATTCAAGTAAATAAAATTAATGCCTAGCTGTTTTAAAAAATAGATTAGGCTTTTATTTTTTTTTTTGTTTGCTGTGAAAGGCCTAAGTCTTGACAGGTTCCATTCATGTTATAGGAACAGAAAATGCAGAAGAGAAAACATATCTGTCCTTAAAACATGGAGGTTTTTAAATTGTGTTAAGCAGCTCAGGAAACAGACACATTTTTGTTTCCTAATTGTCAGCTGTAGTTGTTGTTTCAGCTGCAACTACACACAAAAAACGCCAGCCAAGGAAAGCATACATTCATAAGGTTCAGGATACCTAAAAAAGGACTTAAAACATAGAGGTAATTTTAAAAGCCTAGGGCACTTGTGAAAACTCACCATTAACTGCTGCACTCATCAGTAATTCAATCTTTTGAAGACATTTGAAAAATCTGCGACCTGTTTTCTATTTTGTAGAAAATGGGAAAACAGTTTACTTACATTAATTTCCTCAGTTTTTGGTGGACTGTTAGAAACAGGGACTTCTTCAGCTGCTTCAGGGTTACGTTCTTCAGGTAAATGCACACACTTGCCCTCAAGGCGATTTTCAGATGGAGTACTGACCATGTCCTCACTGTCAAGGATACTTATCACAGCTAGAAGAGATTTATGTAATTTTACCATAACCTTTTCATAAATGATGTAAGTTTAAGCAAAAAGAAGTAACATAGCTACTAAGAGCAACAATATGGTTCTCCATCCTGCCACCTATGTTGGGCTTTCTCCAAAACAAGAACTATTGTGCTGATTTTGGCTGGGATGGAGTTAATTTTCATGGGTATGGGGGTGTGTTTAGGATTTGTGCTGAAGGCAATGTTGGTAACAGGGATGTTTTAGTTACTGCTGAGCAGAATCTACACAGAGCCAAGGCCTTTTCTGCTTCTCACATCATGCCAGCAGTGGGTGGGCTGGGAGTGCACAAGATGGGAAGGACAGGACAGCTGACCTCAAGTGACATCCCATAAAATATGGCATCATGTTCAGCAAAAAAGGCAGGTGAAAGAAGGAAGCAGGAGACATTTGAAGTTACGGTGTTTGTCTTCCTATGACCCATCTTCCTGTTTTCCCAGAGATGGCTGAATACTTGCCTGACAACGGGAGGTGGTGAATGAATTCTTTGTTTTACCTGACTTCCATGCCTTCTCTATTAAGGTGTCTCTATCTCAACCCATGACTTTTCTCACCTTCTGCTCTCCGATTCTCTCCCCCATTCACCCAGGGGAAATGAGTGAGTGGCTTTGTGGGGCTTAGTTGTCGACTGGGTTTAAACTGTGACAGACTGTGACTACAGACTGCATTTAGTATGCAGCCCCACAGCAAGAAAGAAGGAGGAGAAAATCATCTGTCAAGTCCATAGAGGGGGAAAAAAGAGGAAAATGTGACTGGAAAGAAACACTGTTAAATAGTTGCTTTAGTCTGAATACTGAGGATGTACCATCTTTTAGAATAGTAAATCAAGCAGCAGATCCCATGGCACACAAATTGGTAGTGGTGTACAACATTAAAATAAATACTGATCTCCCCTTATAATACTGTAAGTTCTACCAGCACCACAATATTTTGATGAAGAATGGAAAGATTCACTATGCACCTTCTACAAGGACTTCCTTTAAGGAGAGGGTGTTTTCTGTAACGAAAGTCAGCACTAACATGCTGCTATATCAATCTAAGACACCTACAGTGGTATGGCAAATTACACATTTCATTTGAGGAGATCTGTTACCCTAACACACAGAACATTTCCAACATACATTCACTGTCTGCCTCCGGCGATTCAGCGAGCTGTGGGTTTGTTGCAACCAGTATAGCTTTTTCTTCTGATGAAGAAGTCATTTCAGACTTCTGGTAGGTTGTTTCACTTCATGAAAAGAAAGACAGAAATTTATCATAAAGCTTGAAAACAAACCTCTAAGAACTTCATGAGTTACTTTCTCACTGTAAAATCTTCATGTTTCAAACCACAAAAAAATACAATAAAATTAGAAATTCCTCTATCAACATATTCAATTTGACTCAATTTGTAATTCACTTTGTAACTCATTTTATGCAATGAATCAAGTACTTAACATTCTTTCCAGCTATCCAAAACTAGGTAATAACAGGGGCGTATTACAGAATAATGTATTATTTCTCTTTTGTAGAAAGAGGGCAACTACAGTAACAGAGGTTCAGAACCAACTGAACAAAAGTCTGTACAGGTAAAAGTTACCACTTGAAATTAAGGGCTCTCTCATTGCTGACATTATCTTTACTTATCTTTATCTGACATTATATTTATCACTCAGCAGTTGCGGCTTTTAAAGTATGTGAGGAGAAAACAGCATCCCTTTCCATAAACAAATAGATGCTAATTGAGCACACACAGAAAACTGAAATTAAGTGTAAAAAGTACTGTCAGAAAGCATTCAAACTCCAAAATAAACACACTGAAGTTACAGGAATCTCAGGATACATTTTTAACTACACAATTTTCAGAAAAAAAACAGGGTTTATGTTCACAGTATCTGCTTAGTAACTCTCACAAGATCTGTATGGGACTGTTGAATGAAGTCTTAATCATCACACTTTGGGGTCTGCTTTGAGAAAAAAGGCTCAAATTGACAGCTAGTCAATGTGCATTACATTCACGCCAGATTACTTTTGGTCACAGACAGAATGAATAGACAGGCCTTACATATAAGAACACAGGAAAGAACTAACCCCAGGTCAAAATCAGTTTTCAAACACAGAAAAGCCAGCAGCTATATGTTGTGTGAACCCAAAGATTTATCTACTTCATAAGCTCACCCTTCATTTCCAGCACCAGAAGTTGCAGCCTCAGAAGCTTTAAACACCAGCTTATGCTCAGGAGGGGTATGACATTCAGCATTTGATTCTTCCACAAATCCTAAAAAAATGAAGAGCTGGATGACTTCCCTGTTGCACTCAACATCCCTTCTTTTAAACGGCTCATATGAATTTAAAGTGATCCTTTATGCATTTCATCTAGGACAGGGACTTAACAAAATAACAATACCAAGACTTCAAATGTATAGACTGCCTGTTCTTTCCAGCAGGACAGGTAGCCTGATGCATAATTTCAACATGAAACAAATAATTAAACATGAAACAATGTAAAAACTCCTGCAAATTATGGAAGTACCCCTAAAACATAACCAGAAGCCCAAGCTTAAAACATGTATCCCTTTCAAAACTCCCATAGCTGCCTTTCAGCTGCAAATATGCTCAAAAAATGTCAGCCAAGGAAAGTATATATTCATAAGTCTAGGACACCTTAAAAAGGACTTCAAACATAGAGGTAATTTTAAAAGCCTAGGGCACCTGTGAAAACTCATTAACAGCTGCACTTATCAGTAATTCAATCTTTTGAAGATATTTGAAAATTTCAGGATTTTAGGTTATCACAGGACAAAACATACCAGCTTCTTTTCTTCGTCCTGAAGAATCTAGTTGTTTCATTTGGAAAGGTTTATCTTCAACCATTTCACTTTCTTCCTCTTTCTCCATTTCTTGAACATCAACAGTTTCTTCAGTGGAAGAATTAGCTGGTTTAGCAGCTATAAAGATGACATCATCCTCAAAATCACCAGGTGATTTTGCATCATGATACTCCAAAGTAGTCTGGTCTGATCTGACAGAGAAATTACTATTTTCCTTGCTGACATCCACCTTCTCCAAATCATCTCCAGGCATGCTTTCTAAAGACTCCTGTAATTCAGCATGATCATACCCAGGATTGCTCAGAGTAAACAGAGCTGGTTTAGTTCTACTTTCAGACCAAGCATCCTCCACCAAACCATGATGATGCTCAGATGAAGTTCCAAATAGTGCTTTATCATCTTCTGTCACCTGAAATACAAGTTCAGATCAACAATATGAGTCTGTGCCTTTTGTCAAAGCTAAACAAAAAAACCCAACAAATACTGATATTTCTAAGTTACACGTCCCCTTAGTGAGGCAATGAAAAATTAATTCTCATTCTAGCACTATCTTAGATTTAAGGCTGAATTTCATAATTAATCAAACTTTAGATTGTTTATTGAGTTTCCACAACATTGAAGAATTAATCTTAAATCAGTCTTGCTCATAATGTTATCTCAATGATCTCTACTGGGTTTACTAATGTGTTTTCAGGAAGACAAAGCTTTGCCTAACAAAATCCTAACTCAAGATTTCTCTATTCTATGCTTGCCCTTTCAACACATATGCACTACTAAAACATGCTGGTGTTTAAGTATGCCTGTGGCATGGAACAAGTAAACTAATTTGGCCACAGTGCCACTATTAGTAAGAATTTCATACAGGAGGGAGCACATCTTGTTACAATTGAGTAGTTCCTTGTAACATACATGAGCTACTCACACATGGGATAGCAGCACATGCCCCTGTTGTACCTCTGATTTGGGCACCTTATGCTGGCAACTGCCAGATGGGCTGAACCACAGAATCCAGCTACACAGCTGCAGGAGCAGAAGGGATCACAGCTGGTCAGATGGACCCACTGTATGTGACAACTACAGGAATGCTATCCCTGATGGATGGCAAGAAGCAAACCTGAGAACTTTAGCGCTGAGAGACCAAAACACTAAAGTTGTCTTCATCAAGAGTCTCTTTTTACATTTAAGTAAACCAAACACTGCAAAAAGACAGGTTGAAAGTCAATGCACCTTTATGACATTTGTTACTTTCTCAGACGTTCAATTTGCAAAATTTACCAAACCCAAACAAGAGGCTCCATCTATATTCCTTACTTTCCTGTAACACTACCATTTGAAAAGGTACAGCTGAAAGGTGAACTAACATTCCAAACAACCAGAGGTCCTAACAACATCTGAACAAAACCCACAAAGGTCTCTGATGTTTGTTATGATTATGCTCCTGCAAGAACAGGATGTCTAGCGTAACACAATCTTTTCTTTTTTACAAATTCTGCCATTCTGATTCATAATCCAGATTCTGAGTATAAAGTGTTTTGGCAAACTTTAAAGTCTAAATTAAATCACAGCACTACCTGCAAAACTCACAAACTGCAGCCCAGCTTACCCCGACAGTCCATTTAGCATGTGAGCTCTCTTCCCTGAAAGATATTCTAGGTTCCTTTGCTCGTAGAGGAGGAGTAACTGATCGTCCAGGGGATGCAGAGGGAGTTGCCAGGGGTGTAGTGCGAAGGCTGGACCTGAGAATAGACTGAGGAGTAAACCCAGGAAAACCAGAAGATGTGGCCAAAACTTTAGCTCTCTAGGAAAAGAAATAGAAACACTTAATTTAAGACCAGTTAAATCTTCAAAACAGAAGACTCTACTTAAATTACAAAAATTAAATTAGCTTAAATTACGAACTGGGTTTATAGTAGCAGAAAGTTTTGCGTCTGCACTGTTCTTCCCAAAGTATCAAAATTTCAAGGATAAAAATGCATACTTTTTGTACTTCCCTTGGTTCATCTTTGTAATGCCAACAAAACAGAAGATATTTTGCAAAATTACTTCTTCAGGAAATAAGGATATGGCATCTTGTTTTCTGCAAGGTTATCTCCTATTCCGCTAGTTTTTGCAATTACTACACTTCTCTTATAAAAGGCACATAACTTCAACTTTACTCTGCACAACAGCGTTTTCAGTTGCTGCATCTGAAAGCAATTCTGCAAAGCAACAGCTATGGATGCTAAATCTGAACCACAGTGCCTGTACAAATTACAGGCCGCATAGCTCCTCAGGCTGCCTGAGAAAGTAGCCTGGGAAAAATATGAGAAGGAATTAAAACAATTCTCAGGGACACTGAACAGCCTTGCAGGTGCTGTTTGTCTGTCCTCTTGTATTCCTTGCAGGAGAAAGTCAGGGGGGTGTTGTGCCCCTGACCAATGATGGTAATGTAGCACTTTGCTAACCAATAAGAGTTTCCTTTCTGTACTTTCCACGTATCTGTCTATAAGACAGGCCTGAAGTAATAAACTAAGGAATTCTCATGTTGAAACTCCCTTGAGAGTTTATGTCGTTCTTTATAGCCGTTCCCAATCGGAACGACACAACAGCCACAGCTTTTTTTTCACTAGTTAATCAGTTGCACACAAAAGGAAGTGACATGGCTGCAAAAATACCTACACATCTTCATGCAGAAGCATTCAGCTGTTCTTATTTCAGATTATCTTACAGTATTGAAAGGTTTTCAAAAGAGGAGGATGAAGCTAGTTCATTGGTATGGATGGTACTCCATAAGAAGGAGGTAGAAAAATGGAATTGATCCATACAATGAAAATAAATTTAGTACACAAATCTATGGGACAAGTTCTCCACTGCAATCATCTGAGAACAAAAGTTTGCTGCTTAAAAACTGTTCCCAGCTTACCACTTCCAAATGGGCTGTGTATACAATAACCACATGCATAATAAAAATTTCAATCCAGAAGCATTTCTACTTTGGCGATTTCACTTAAAACAAACCACATACATTTTTCATTAGGTTGGCTGCTACTGACTTCTTAAAATACAAACCTTGACCACAAGAGGAGTTTCCAGTAAATTCAACTCTGATGCCCTTCGCAGATTCTTTTGGGAGCTGGAGCGATGTGTATTTGATCTCAGGGGGCTGGATGCCACAGAAGAAGTAGAAGCCCTGCACGGGGACTGCCAGTTCCCCTCCTGTGCCTCAGCGCGGGAAGGAACAGGACGAACCACCAAATCCAGCAACCTGTTAAAATACACATTTTAAACTAGGAACACCAATAAATAAATGAAACAAAGCATGCTGCAATTATGTCAGATACTGCAGAACAAGAACACTGGATGAACTGGAAGAAATACAATCTCACTGCTGAGGGTGATCTATCAGTCCCACAAACAAGTGACAAGGCACTTTGGGGCATTTTTTTCATTATTTCTTTACATTTCATACCTAACTTCCTAAATCCCTGTCTCTGACATAAGAATACCCCAATTTTAAGTAGCACAAGTGACCTAATTCTCAGCAGTGCAGAAAACTCATCTACATTTCAATGCAGGGACCATTTCAAATTGTCCACCTAATTTTGTCCCCAAGTTGACTTTTTCTTTGAGATACAAAACTAAATGCAACAGGATCCTTGGCAAACCAAAAAAACATACACACATGCACATGTATATATATGATACACAATACTATTTTGAAATATAAAGTCTGTAGTTCTACTATACCTTGAACACTTTTGAGAAAGTTTTGTAATAGGTGTCCCAAGAAATGCATCAGGCAACTCAGCAGCAGGGAGAGGATGAGTACTGACTGCTGGCTCTGTAGTTCTAGGACTAGACAAGAAAATTAAAATGTAACTGATTTTCATTCCCACAAAATCCAGCCATACCAGAATTAAAGTTTATTTAACCACATTCCATGTAGGACAATCACCTAACAATTATGAGCCAATTCTCTACTCTTTGTTATTCTGCTTATTTTTAAATAACCAAGCAGGAACTGGCATGTGATCACACAAGTAAGTCTATAAAAGCAGGTACAGCTTCATGATAGTGACAAACAGTTTGACTTTCAGCTGTCTTAAGCACTATAAACACATTTGCCATAATATAAATACATGTATTTGTACAGAAGATTATCATAGTGGAAAAACTCTCCCAACACTACTTTTAATTAATTGTTTCTTAGATGTTGTATACTGTATGTGAAAAAAAGCATAACAAAGCTTTATTCATGTGCACCTTCCCACCAAAAACTTAACAGAATTCCAATTAAATTCTCCTTCTCTCCCCCTACCACTCATTCACTCCCTCTTCACCTCCCTCTCCAAACACGTAGCTCAAGACTCATTTTAATGAAAAGCTGCTTACCTGTCACATAGTGAGATATTTGTTTTCTGCTCATTTCCTAACCATACTTCGCCAATTTTGGACAACACTTTACTGATGAAAGTTGCTCTTGTATGTACATTTCCTGCATTAGCTTGCCTTGTTGCTGTGGATAAAGGCTTTGGCCTTGGGACTGTAAAGCAAGAGGGAAGAGTATCAGCCTTGTGTAATCCAAGTGATGACCAGCTGCACATTGTGTTTCCCTTCTCTAAAATTACCTTCTCTTAAGACCGACGAAGGCAAACGGTACGGCTTGGCTCGCTCTACTGCCAGCTTCCTTTGAACTGTGGGAAGGATCTTGCCATATTGGTCTAACAGAGAATTTCTGGCAACTGCTCTCTCTCTCAAGCGAGGATCACGATCATTCTGACAAAGGAAACGTGTAAAACAAGAAGTTCACAATTTACCAGAAGTTCATTGTACACAACTATCTGCTCTTTCTAACTAGGGACTAAATTTGCTCTATAGACAAAGAAGAACAAATCCACTGCATAGAGCCACAGCAAGCTCCACCCAGAAGCACACACCAATTTCACCTGGTAGTTTTGCATAAGTGCAGCGAAGACTAGTTAAAAAAATTAAAAAACCTCAAACTCCAAACTTCACAACTAAAACCCATGTGGCGATTATTACTTGCGATGCAGCTAGACTGCTCTCAAGTAAAACCAAGACAGAAGACATAACGTACAACGTACTTGTTTCTTCGGAATCAAGACTAACACAAAAAACTTCCATAAAAAAACCACACATAAGAGAGGGATCTGAGGAACTAAATGAAAAGCCAAGATACCTATTTCTTTCCTCAGATGAAAACAAACTTTGTTAACTGGATTCAACCATGGTGTGTGTGACATTTAATTCATAATTTCACATCAGGATGTCTACCCTTACCGTCAGACTGGCCTTCATGGACTGATTCAGCTGGAGTGCTGGGATGTAGTTGGCACGCTGCAGATGGTGGACTAAGAGGAATTCACGGTTCTGAACACCAGATTTGGCCTGTAAAAACTTCTCCAAACACTCCTGTGAGAAATAACACATTTCATGCATCTATTACGATTCTGCCTCTTCTCTTGCCAAAGAGAAAATTAAGACTTTTTTTTGTTTCTTCTCCAAACTCACTTTTTCTGTGTCTGTGAAGGGCAGCTTCAGCAAATCTTNGCTGTCTCTCGCGGGGCATGCCGGGAGCTGTAGTTCTTGAACCGGCAGGACCAGTGTTCCGCAGAACCCGTTCCTGGCGCCCGTCCCGCACCTCGTGGGGGTGGTTCTGCTCCCCTGCCCCGCCAAGGGGGAGCCCCCGGCAGGGAGAAAGCTGGCCTTGCCTACCTGTGTCCATCTCATCGCAGGAGCCGCTCACCCATTTCTCCCTCTTCCCCCCTCCCCCACCCCATCTATCTGGATTTCGTTGAATCACAGAACGGATTGGGTTGGAATGGAGTTTAAATATCATCGAGTTCCAACCCTCCTGCCACGTGCAGGTACACCTTCCCCTGGAGCAGGTTGATCAAAGCCCTTTTCAGCCTGGCCTCGAACACTTCCAGGAATGGAGCATCCATAGCTTCTCTGGGCAGCCTGTTTCAGAGCCTCAAAAGACTTCCTTCTACTATCTAATCTAAACCTACACTCTTTCAGTTTGAATCCATTCGCCCTTCTCCTGTCACTACATGCTCTTGTAAAGAGTGCCTGTCTATCTTTCTTGTAGGTTCCCTTCAGGTACTGGAAGGCCAGTCATTAGGTCACCCATTTAAAAGGATTTAAAGGGGTAGACTATTTAGCTGCAGTTTTCCTCTAATTTTTAATAAGAAACTATATGTAAAAACCCAACAAATTAGTATAAAGTTAATGTTACACTGTTAGTCACAGAAAGGAGAAAAAGTAAGTATTAAGTCAAAAGTGCAAGTCTAATGCTACTCCTTTCAGTGTATATATTGTTACATGGTCAAAACATTCTTTGACTTAAAAAAAGCATTTTAATATAGTCTAGTGGAAGGCATCCCTGCCCATAGCAGGGGGGTTGGAACTAGATGATCTTTAAAGTCCCTTCCAACCCAATCCACTCTATGATTCTATGAAATTTTCAAAGCTTCTAAGTAGTGGCACCGTCATCAAAGGGGTGACAAAGCCATTTAATTTCTCCCAGCATACATCATCTAAATTACATCTATGACTCTTAATGTTGAGGCACCATTCTTTTTATTACTATGCAAATCTCTTTTGTGACTTGGTGGCTGCTATTGCCATTTTAGGTCTATTAATTTGTATCATACAAGAGCACAGGTCATGAAGAAGGAGCCCACCATGCCAAGCAAGAAGATTGCACAGGTCAGCCTGGCCCCTGACCTTAGGGGGAAGCTGTGCACAAGTCATGGGGTGTCAGTGAGATAGTATTTGCCTGCAAAGAAGGAAAACTGTCCCTGGTCACCAGCTGATGGGTGATGGCAGAGCTGACTCTGTTACACATGAGAGGCTGTGTATGAGACAGACAGATCTGGGGTGCACTATGGAAGGGCTTGAAAACAAAGACAAGCAACTCTCATCTGACGTAACAACGAATAGGGAGCTAAGGGAAAAATGCAAAGATAGGCATGGCAGCACTGGAGGACCAGCTAGACCCGTATCCTTCGCAAAGACATGTAGCGTGATTATGTGCAGGATAGAGCTGCATTTACTAAGAGAAGGAAAACTGCTTCAGCAATAAGCACAGTTCAAAGTGTCAATTCAGTGTGGATGAGAGCCTTAGCTCCACACATGGAGACAGAAGGATTCCCTGACAGGAATTATTTGTAGAACAATGCTTGCAAGGTTTGGATGTGATCTGAATTAGAACATGAGGAGAAGTCCTACACATTCCCCCTGTCATAAGCATATGTGAACATTTGCCTAAACAGCAGCTGTGGGATGAAGTGGGCTGGTTTAGCCAAGCTTAAGCCTCAACTGACAGCAAGGCTTATCTGAGCAGGCATCAGGGAGCTGGGCAAGGATGTGTTTGGAAAAAAAGGGTCTATGACTCACCTTGCCTGGTTTTACGTGTCTATGGTACAGTCATCAATCCATTCAGCTGGACTCGCTTTTTAGGTGGCAAAAGGAAACAGCTTTTTCCTTTGTGCCTGTCCTGGCTGCCTTTAGATACTTCCTATAGGATTAGCTGTAATGGGAGCCAAGATGGCAGTGCAGGTAGAGACACCTATGCTGTACCCTTTTGCTTATGGTTGGGTTGATCTCTCTTTTAGAGATTCATCTGAATAGAGCACTTGATTTTAAAGTTGCAGGTGAATTTATGTTTGTGGTAGGGATTACATGGAGATAAGGTATAGAAGAAAAAGAGAACAAGAACACAATTCTATACCACCTGAGCCTGGAGAATGAGATAAAGAGGAGTCTCCAAAAGACATGGTGGTTGGGCAAGGGGAGGGAAAGGGTAGGGTAAAGCTTTGAATGACAGAGAGAATAACCTCTCTGGGAGAGCTGACTTGTGGCAAGTGCCTGACAGGTGATAGGAGATGTCGGGGAGAGCTGGAGCTGACTAAGAAGAGGTCATTCTGAGGCTTCCACAAAAACAGTGCTGACTGAATGTGAGGGCAGGGGCCCAATGAAGGAGAAGGAGTTTCGTAAGGAAGAGTCCAGCCTTTCACTGAGCTTACAAAGCATAGAGAATTGAGGTGCATGTTTGTACTGGGTTTTTGTGGCCAGGTTTTGGTAGTGGAGGAACTTTAAGAGTGGCTTCTGTGAGAATCTGCCAGAAACTTCCCCTTTTTCTGACAGAGCCAATGCCTGGAAGCTCCAAGACAGACCTGCTGCCTGCTAAGTCCAGGTTCATAGCAATGGTGGTAGCTCCTGTGGGATAACAGATTTTAGAAAGTAAAAAAAGGCACAATTCCAGCCAGAGAGAGGAGTGAGAATATGTGAGGGGAGCAGCTCTGCAGATACCAAGGCCAGTGCAGAAGGATGGGGAGGAGATGCTTCTTTCACTGGAGCAGAGGTGCCCCTGCAGCCCGTGGTAAGACCATGATGAGGCAGCTGTCCTCCTGCAGTCCCCTCTGGTCCACACCAGAGCAGGTGGATGCCCAAAAGCAGGCTGTGATCCTGTGGGAAATCCACACTGGAGTAGGCTCCTGGCAGGACCTGTGGATCCTATGGAGAGAAGAGCCCGCACTGGAGAAGTTTTGCCAGCAGGACTTGCGACCCTGCAGGGAGCCCATGCTGGAGTAACCTGTTCCTGAAGGACTGCACCTCTTGGAAAGGGACCTACACCAAAGCAGTTCATGAAGCACTGCAGCCCATGGGAAGGATTCATATTGGAGAAGCTTGTGGAGGATTGTCTCCTCTGGGAGGGGATCAACACTGGAGTGGGGGAACAGTGAAATGTCCTTCCCTTGAGGAGCAAGGAGCAGCATAGACAATGTATGATTAACTGGCTACAGCCACCATTCCCTGCCCCTCTGTGCTGTAAAATGGGGAGAAGGTAGAGAAAATCAAGAGTGAAGCTGAACCCAGGAAGACGAGAGGGGTGGGGGCAAGGTGTTTTAATATTTAGCTTTTATTTCTCATTGTCTCACTCTGGTATAATTTTTAAGAAATTAAATTCCTTTTTTTGCTGAATCGAGTCTGTTTTGCCCATGACAGTGACTGGTGAGTGATGACTCCCTGTCCTTATCTCAACCCGCAAGCTTTCATTATATTTTCTCTCCCCTGTCCAGCTGAGGAGGAGAATCATGGAGCAATTGGTGGTTTGTAAACAATAAGAGTATTAATAGATGAATATATTGAAATGATAAAGAGCCAGAGAAGAGTGAGCAACTAACAAGGTAAAATGAGGCAGTTAGGGAGACGAGAGAAAGTGGAACCAACAGCAAGAAAAGGAGCAGGATGACAAAACCAAAGAAGAGAGCTCCATGCCTGTGGCACCAGTAAAGACTGGGAGAGAGATAAGTGGAAGTTTGAGATGAGGGGATTGCAAAGTCAAAACACAGGAAGAAAGCAGTGAGATGTTGTGCAAATAGAGAAGGAAGCAGGAAGGAAGATGCAGCGAAGAGGGAAGGTGCTGCAGCTGAAAATGTATGCAAAGTGTATGCAAATGGAAAATGTTCAGCTGAGCTGGAAAAATTAGTCTGCTTGGTGTACCAGATGTCGTCAGGTTTCATGCAGTTAAGATTGTTGAAAACCTGATGGACAAGCTATATTAGAAAGCTAATGTCCTTACCCAGCTAAGTTAATGATTGCCTAGTCTAATTGCTAAGGCTGGGTTGGGAACCAGTGGAGTCACAGCTGCAGCAGATCTGTAATGCAGCTCCCCGGACTCAGGCACCATTTTTGCTGCTGTACAGCTTTGGGTGCCTGGACACTGGGTCCTGATGCCCCCATGGGGATACCTGGTCCTGGCAATGCCCCTCCCCAAAGGATTGGGAAGCCTGGAACACAGCGCTGGGTGCATGGCAGGGCTCCAGCACTGCTGCCTTCCCTACTGAGTCAGACTGTCTGCTCTGGGAAAGCTGGGAGAAGACTCCAGAAGCAGTTTCTGAATTACAGGGAGCTGGAGGTGGGGTTCAAACTCCCTGGTGGTATCCCAGGCAGCACAATCTTTCTTCCAGGTCAATAAGTTGATATCTAATTATGGGTCAGTCCCATGAGCACTCTGCTGCTTTGTAATGCCCCAGCACTGTAGTGCGGCTGTTACTTTGGTGTATCCAGTTGGCATCCACTTTTGCCTTGGAGTTGCATTTGAGGATCTGTGATTCTGCCTCAAAAAGTTAAAATGGAAGGTGCTGCATGCTTGATAATATTTTTTTTCAAATTATTGTGACAAGCATGCAGTAGCATTCTCTACAAGATCTTCTTGGTCCTCGTGGTCTGGCATTTTCAGTAAGCTGTACCAAAAGTAAGCAAATACTGAGATGAAGAAAGCCCGGTGTTAAAACAAAGTTCATACTGTTGTCATGTATCAGGGATGTAAAGGTGAAACAAAGAAGATGCTGCAGTGGTGTAATGATTATTTTCAAGCACAGGATTGTTTATAGAGACAGGATGCTCAGCAATGTGGTTATACTTATCCAAATTACAAGGGTAGAAGTTTAAAAACAAGGATTAAATACCGTCTTTCAGTAATTACATAGAAGGAATCTATTTTGAAAATGTACGTGATGTCTTTAAATCCAAATATTAAAAAGACTCAGACACAAAAGACCAGTGTTTGGGATTTTTGAGAGGTTTCACTATGAATTGTCTCAGCTGAGATTTTTGTAAGGCTTAAAAGTCTGATCTTAATTTAATTTTCTGAACTCAGAATGCCTGGTTATGAGATACTACAATTTTTTCTATACATCTCTTAAGTAATATTTAAGTAT